TCCAGATCAAGACTGGCTTGGTTCTGACTGCTGTGCTCAGCTCCTTCCTGCTGCTGCCCTTGGGAGTGAACCTGTTGTGCCCCTCTGGCAAGATGTTCTGCTCCTGGCCTAGCTGGGTGGTTCTGTCCCCTACACTCTCTGCAGGGATTGCAGCTTCAGGGTTTCACCTCAGGCCTGTATGCCAGGCTTGAGCTGAGTCTGGAATGCCCGAAGTTAAAAGAGGAAAGCTTTATTTAGCTATAGTTTGTAGAAGTTTCAGTCCATAGTTGGCTGGCTCCAAGATAGGGTAACACAACAGACAGGCATTGCAGAGGGGAACCCATTTACGGCAGGCAGAAGGTACCAAAGCAAGCAAGAGGGATGAACACAGAAATTTGCACTCTTTGTATCTTACCCAGGCTACTTAGGGTGGGTAGCACTCACACCCTCTTGATCCTAGACTGCACTATGAGCCAATCCCAGTATCACACACTCTACATCAAGCCACCTCTCAGAAAACTTCCATATGACCACATGAGGCTTTGGGGGCACACATAAACACAAGCTATAACACCATCCTTTAATGCCCACAGGAAGCACAGGATCCTACCCACATTATGAATCAGAAAATGGACACAAAGAAGTTAAATTATTTGCTAAAGATTAAATTTCTAGCAAGCAGTAAAGCAGCCTGGCTCTACAGTCTACCTTTGTAAGCACTGGCTTATTTATGCTTTCTGAGCTACTTATATGCCATGCTAAAACTCAGTGACTTAACGTAGCTATTACATTGTTCAGAGTTCTGGGGGTCAGACACTTTGTTAGCCTCAGTTGCCTGGATCTGCTACACTAAACGTGTCAACTGAGGTCACTTATGATGGCAGCCAGTCTCTCATGACTGGAGGCCCTGCATAGCTTCTCTCACATTTCTGTCTAAAACCTTCTTTTTTAATTTCATTTTTTATGCGGTTTGGGGGATCAAACTCAGGACCTTGTACTTGTCAAGCAGGTGCTTATGTCACTAAGCTATATTCCCAGCCCCTCACTCACATTTCTGGAACCTTCCAGCAAAGACTCTAGTAAATTTCATGTGGTTTTCACCAAAAGACAAAGCTTCTTTTTATTATAGGTTGGAAGCCAAAACAGACCCTCAGCAAAGGCAGATGTCTACCAAATACTATAGATCAAAGTAAGACATGGAGCCAGCTTAGATTCAAGGGGAGGCAATTGAACCCACCTCTTTCCTGGAGAATGGCGAAATCATAGACACAAGAGCATACAAGAGGGCTGGCCAAGTAGCTTGGTGGATTAAAGAGGTTGCAAGCAGGCACAGGGGCTGAGGGTTCAATCCCTGGGCCTGCCATGCCAGTCCTGCCCCTGGGGCCTGCTGAGACAATGACTTAGACTGGATGTGGTGGTGCACGCCTGTAATCCCAACACTTGGGAGGCTATAGACAGGTGGATCACTGTGAGTCTGATCTAGTAGTGAGACCCTGAACACTATGTAGACCCTTCCCTAAAATACAAAAAAAGAAAAAAAAAAGAGCATACAAAATGGGCAACATTATTCTGGCCAGCTGTGTAGACACCAGCTACTGTGATACCACCATACTGCCTCTCTAGAAAGTGAGTTCAGTGCATTTCCAAATAACACCTCTCCAGATATTTGAAACTAGCTCTCAAGTATCTCTGAGACTTTTACTTCTCACGTTAACTTCTTCTTCCTTCAACTGTTTCTTATGAAATGCAGGAACATGCTACCCAACTCCTCTGACATGTCCCATAACTGAATGGCATGTTCTAGGGGGATGCCTGGGCTACTGCAGAACAGAAGGACTTACACCTCCTGTCTTCCAGAGATGGACAGTGACTCAACAGGAATTTTTCCCTGATGTTACATAGAAATGTTGTCACCTGAAACTCATGCCTCCCTCCCTGCACTTACATACCCTTATAGAGAGATTCATGTTAAATTCCATTTCATGAAATTTAGCCTAGCTTTCTTCATTTATTTTCTGTTGCTCTAACAAAGTACATGAAGCCAGGTGATTTATAAAGAACAGAGCATATTTGGTTTGTGTTTCCAGAGGCTGAGAAGCCAAAAAGCATAGTGCTGACCTCTGCTCAGGGTCTAGTGAAGGTCTTTGTGATACATCATAACTTGGCAGAGGACAAAGGATGCTGAGGTAGAGTGACCAAGCCAGCTCAGGTCTTTTTCTAATATAGACATTAATGCCATCATACAGGCCATTCTCTCCTATGCTCATCTAATCCCAATTACCTCCCCAGAGGCTTCACCACATAAGAACATTAGGGGATTGAGTTTTCAACACGTGACTTTTGGAGGGACATATTGGAACTGTTCTTACCCACTAATTCCATCCTCTACTATTGTCCTCCCAGCTTTCAGTCAAACCCACTCTGTCTCATGACCCAACCTCCTCCTTCACTACTTCTTCCAGGACCTGTAAAATTATCAGCCTAGATAGAAACATAAACAAAGCTCTGGAACACACCACGAAAGGTCTCTCTCAACATTAAAACTCATTCATTGAGCTGAAACTGTTGGAAATTGATAAGACAGAATATCTTGGACAGTTCCAGATTTATCAAGCTCTCTGTATACCCAATCCACATATTTCTCTCATTGTATTTGTCTTGCCTCAGGATCATCATGAGCACTGTAGCCAGCATCAAGCTCAGGTGCCAGAAACCCCTGCTGCCTGCATTTCCCTATGTGCCACACCCACGGTTCTGGCAGTGAAAACAATGAGACTCATCTGGAGGTTTCTGCTTAGTCCCTGTAGACTCCTGGTGATCCCAACCTCCCCCCACCACTCATCCCTCTAGGCGCTCTGTGCTAGACTCTCTCTCCTCTTCATGCAGCTCCTGCCTCAGCACTGCTCACCCCTCTCTTACCTCTCAGAGACCATACAGTCCTGAATCACACATCACATCTCTTTGAACTTGATCTCTCTCATAAGTCTGGATCAGGATAACTAAAGTTCTAGTGGCAGGGTCTGCCCTTTTCAATGAGTGTAGGCTTCTCCCCCTTCCCAAGTATTGCACAGCAAGCCTAAGAAGAGCACAGATCTCCCTTCTAGTTGTTTGAGGTGATGTCAGGAGAAGGTATCCATGTTAGCAGCAGTCACGTAAAACAGCACAATCACTGCTCTGAGGGGGAAGGGTGAAGCACGGCAGAGCTGTTGGGCTAGCTCATTTCCGCTTGGCAGCTCACAAAGGGCTTCATGGCAGCTCTGGTATATGGATAGATCCTGAATCACAGGGGTGCCAGCAAGTATACAGAGATGTGGACCTCAGTCGCTGCAGTCTCTGGGGCCATGAATTCACAGTCTTGAAGATAATTAGGTAATCCAACAGCACATCCCTTCAGACATGCTGGTGCGTGAGACTTCCTGATCCCAAAGTCCAAAGAAATAATCCAAATACAAACTTGTTCAAAGTGTTATTTGCATGACACTGATGTTCAGTGGAGCCCTGAGTAACCATTAATAGCCTGTGAACATCAGCCTGATACCAGCCAAGGGGCCCTCCCTGCAGCCTCTCAGTTGTCTGATTAACATGCCCTAATTCTTCATTCCACAGTTTATGAAAAATGCAGATCTTTCCCATTAATTTTGTAGATCACCAAGGGCTTCCTTCCAAGGGCTTTTTTCTTGTGGCTCTGCCCTGATGCAGGCTGCCTCAGTGAAGCTTCTGTTTGCCTCAAGTGTTGCATGATTTTGAGTGGTTTATAGTGTTGTGAGGGTCTACAAAGGACCCGGATAATACACTTTAGATCTATCTCTCATTGCTGGGGCAAATGAAAATTATTGCCCATGCCTCCCTCCAGAGCCTTTCTCCTCAAAAAAGGCAAGTTTTTCCCTAAAAGGAATTCTAGATCAGTCACTAATAATATACTTTTCCCTAGTATTATTATTTGAAGAATTCTTTTGTGACATGGGAAAAGACTTATAATAACATAAGCTACGCAAAAACAAACAAAAAAGCAAGACACAGACTTACAATGATCTCCAATATAGTCTCAGCCATGTAAAACAACATGCATCATAAGAAATTTAATCAAACAGTAGCAGTAGCTAGCTGTGCAGAAAGCTTTTTGGATGATTTTGGTTGGCCTGTATAGGTATTGCTATTTCTCAAGTCTTTAGAGACTATGCAAATATTTGGAGTTCAGATGCTTGGGAGAATGCTATTATCATTTAGAAAAATTAAAAAGTTAAGAAGTGGGCAGCAGCCAGTGTGGGAAAGGTAAATGCAATGTTCCTTCCCTCTCTAGGTACAGACAATGTTCTTCCTCTGGGTACTCTAACCTCCTGCAGACCAATGACCGCTAAGCAGTTTAACAGATCTGAAAGGGAAGATAGACCTAGATTTCTGATTTCTTGTCTTCCTGAACCAACTTGCTCCATAACACTCTGAAAGGAAGTCTAGAAGGGCAGGGAAAGCAGGGCCAGTCAGTCAGAACTGTGTAGCTGGGGGTTGGGGTGCAGGGCACCCTAGCAGCATTTGGCAGCTCACTCCAACATGCTGTATTTTGAAATGCAGCTTAGACTTTCAATGGGTTCCCTTTTTTCCTCAGGCTAGAAGAGCTAATGAAATTGACCAGGAATTTTGGTTTAACTTACCATCTCTGTTAAATACTTAGCTTCTGACTGATTCAAAGCCATCACCCTAGAAGCAAAGAACATGGTGTGCAGCTTACAAGCTCAAAATCACAAAAATGAGAAGGGGGTGTTACTCTTCCATCTGAAGCAGTTTTCTTGGACATGCCTTGGGATCACATACGAATGCGAGTGAACTGGTGTTTCAGGAGCACAGCAGCTATGCACAGATCTTGGGGCAGACCCAGAGCTTGCAGGTGGGATGCACTTGAATAAGTTTTCTTTTCCTCTTCCCTCTAGTAATCTGCATCATTAGAAAATTATTTTTCTTTATTAATGATGTGCAAGAAATTTTCCTACCTTTCGGCCGGAACCGCCATCTTCCAGTAATTTGCCAAAATGACTAACACAAAGGACAAAAGGAGGGGAACCCAGTATATGTTTTCCAGGCCTTTTAGAAAACATGGGGTTGTTCCTTTGGCTACATACATGTGAATCTACAAAAAGGGTGATATTGTAGACATCAAGGGAATGGGTACTGTGCAAAAAGGAATCCCTCACAAATGTTACTATGGCAAAACTGGAAGAGTCTACAACTTTACCCAGCACGCTGTCGGCATTGTTGTAAACAAGCAAGTTAAGGGAAAGATACTTGCCAAGAGGATTAATGTGCATATTGAGCATATTAAACACTCAAAAAGTCATGATAGCTTCCTGAAATGTGTCAAAGAAAATGATCAGAAAAAGAAGGAAGCCAAAGAGAAAGGTAACTGGGTTCAGCTGAAACGCCAGCCTGCCCCTCCCAGAGAAGCACACTTTGTGAGGACCAATGGAAAGGAACCCGAGTTGTTGGAACCCATTCCCTATGAATTCATGGCATAAACTGGGGACGTTGCTCTGCCATTTAGCACCTAATTGGCAGCTTAAGTGTTCTAGGTCCTATGTAAAAATAAGATCATCCTGTGTTGTAAGGGTGGTTTTCTTAGTTGAACAGGTATGTGGTGCCTTCTTACCTCAGAAATATTTGCAGCAGATTTTCACTGTACCCAGTAATTGTGTCTAGCCTTTACTCTTCAGTATTTTCTTGCTAAAAGATACTGCTGAGGTATTGCGCAGGTGTATACCCAAAAATTCAAATATTTATAAAGCATTTAAATGGCCTGAAAAACCCGGAAAACAACAAGGGGAAAAGATGTATCAAAATAAATGGAAGTCACTTCAGAAACAAACTTAAGTCCATTTCAGTTAAATAAATCGTTTAAAGCACCAAAAAAGAAAAAAAATTTTCCTAGATCTTCATGAGAGGTTGGCTCTCTGTGTGTACTGGGATGAATTCATTCCTGCACCTGTGAAAATGAAGTAGTTCTGATGAATTGAGTTGACCTCATTCATGCTTGAGGCACTACATGTACACCAACCCAGCTCCGCCAATCCTCTTGCTTTAAGCACAGAAGGCTGGAGACACAGATACCTGGCACATATTTCTTTCCCTCACTATTGGGCCTTTCAGCAGAAACAAAGCACAAGAAAAGGAGGCAAGACTTTATCCTTTTGGAGATCAAGGAAAATTTCCCATGAAAGAAAGACTCATAGATTTACTTAGACAGTCAGCCTCAGGGAGGAAGAGGGAGAAAGGGCCAGACAGGGCCAGACAGAGCAGAGGGCCAGCAAGAATACAGAAAGAAGCAATGCAAAAGAAGAGGCAGGGAGGGAGAGGGGAGGAGGAGGAGGAGGA